AAAAAAAAAAAAAAAAAAAAAAAAAAAAAAAAAAAAAAAAAAAAAAAAAAAAAAAAAAAAAAAAAAAAAAAAAAAAAAAAGGAGCAGAAAAACACCCCGAGGGAAGTGGAAAGCAGAAATGAATAGTTCGGCAAAACAAACGGATTTCTCCACGATGGACAAAGATCGCCCACCCTAAAAGAGAAAGAAAAAGGTTGATTGTGGTGTGGCGGTGCAAATCCCATTTCCGGACTCACCAGCCCTAAAGACTAGGGCGGACAAAGTCCGACCAGGCGGCGTCACCATACAAAAACCTGCAGTTCCACGACGGAGAGCACCGATCAGCCACACTATCATTTGATTTCTCGAGCCATGAAAACCCATCATCAGCCACACTAGACAGCGACCCATAGTAAGTCTAACTAGTAGATTAACTTATCCCTCCGGCAGCTGGTCACCGAGCCGCTGCCGAAAACTCTTCAGTCTCGCGATGCTTTCCTAGGCTAGGTTTCAATCGAACTATCAGAAGTTCCTCCTAGTGTGTCTACTAAATGAGATCGGCGCGGTGATTCTAGACCCCGTTCAAGATACCCGACAGTCGCTAGACTACAAGCCAAAATCTTTTCAAAAAACAAACAGCAAACTTCGGACTCAAGAGTCGTCTGGCATGTCCGATGCAAGTCCTGCATACAGTAGTGGTTACTAAATTTAATTGAGGAACATCTTGAGGTATTCAGATACCCCTCGTCCTAATCTCGCTTAGTTTTGAGAAATAGGAGGGTACGGTCCTTACAGTTCACAATCCTACTCAAACTATGCCCTATGCCCCCGATGTAATTCAGCTGATATGAAACGCCGTGCCAAGATTTCAAACCACCTCGAGGTTTTCGGCGACAACTTCAACTCTTGATTGGCCCATGTTTATCGCTGTTATTCTACTTATTATTCTCCACGCCACAGACAGTATACTAAGGCCGAGTACGCGGGATTGTATCCCGAGGAAATGGATTCCGGGATCATCTACCAATAAGAAAGGCTATGAAGTGATATCCCCCGTGTGCAAAATGGTATGGTACAGATCTACATACTACATAGCAAAGTAAAGTTTGAGCCCCCATGATTAAGGTATAGAATAGTGGGATCCGCATGTTCAACCAACAGCTCAGGTGGATTCTCTTTCCATATAGGAGCTGATAAGGACTGTAGCTGAACAATCACCATACCACACTTCGAGCAGATCCTCCAAATTTGTAGAGTCGAGATTTATCATACAGGAATAAATATATAATATTCGCCAACATAGTTCACACACCGGCGTGGAAACGAAAGGTGGTATTTGGCTCCCAAGTTCTTAGTCATATATATATACTTAGTGCAGGCACACACCACTTCAAATCATCTGCAGCTTGTCAATACTAATCTCATTCTTTTTATTGCACAAATAAGCGGTCAGGTAGCGACATGTGCACGACCAACTTAATCTCGAGGTGGCGTTTTCCTGACAGATACAAGGCGACCTTGCAGGTGAACTTTAAAGGCACTGTCGATCGAACGCGTTGTTCTAGAATGCGCTTCCCTGATTATACCAAAACTATATTTGTTACAATGCAGAACCTTAACGCTGCCTTATGTCAGAGTGAAATGCTCTCAATATTAACAACTCATCCAGATTGATGTTATGCTACTGTGGTTATAAAATGCAGCCGTCGTCAGCGGCACAACTACGCCTTGGAGCTTGCTCATCGTTTACGTATGCTCAGTTGACGTAGCCTGCAGACGTGAATATAAAATTAGGGTGCAACGGTTTATGGCGCCAACGCATAACATGCCTGGCTATGGTCACTCTAGATATGTCATAAATATTCGTACGATATGCGATGTAGCGTACTTGTAGACCATATATTTTCCATCCGATGACTTACCACCCCGTAAAGGTAAACAAACTGTCATTGATATGACTATTTTAAGGATCCATTGCAGCCATTAGTCAAACAGCTTCTATGAATGACTGACCATATATCTATACCCGACTGATCACACGTTCTCCTTATCCGTCTTGTTCCAATCATTCCAAAATTCTGATCTGTGATATGTTCCAATAGATTTTAGTCTCTTTCGCTACTGGGTAGTGTTAAGCCGTTGCTATGCCTACTATCTTCGACAAACAGTAAGAACTTCCTTCAAGATTCTAGGACAAAGCACGCTATTCTATCGTAGTTCTATATGCAACTGCCTCTCAAGACCGTAATTGACAAAAGAAAAATCACCAAACAAGCTCGCACTCCTCCAACGACAAAGCAAGTTGATCCTTCAGCAAAGGTATCGGACTGAACTCATCGCCCCCATTCAACCGCTCGTCCAACCTCGAAACACACTCACACCTCGCCTGCATCACCCCCCGCAGAATCTCATCCTCCCCATACCCAACCTCCGCCGCAATCCTCGTCGCCAACCGCGTCCCAACAGTCAACACCAACCCCGCAATATCCGTTGCCGCGCACCCAATCCCAGCATCAGCCCAATCCAATATCCCCGTAATCCGCCCACAGCCGTCAACAAGAATATGCTCCCCCTTAATATCATTGTGAATGAACACCTGACACGAATGATCGGAAAGATCCCGAATCCGCTGTATAAACTCTGTCTTCCGCTCCACCAGCCCCTCAGCCTCCGCCTGATCTCCATAATCCACCTGTCCAAGTCGAATCAGCCTCTTCCAACCCAGAATAGCCCTCTCCCTCCACACTCTTAAGTCCGGAAACGGGATAGAAGGAACACTAAACCCAACACCTAGCCTCTCTTCCAAGCTCCGGACATCAACCCCCCTCATCACACGCATCAACTCCACCAGTCCCCGGACCGTCGCCTCAGAAGTATTTTTCTCGACATCTAAATGTAACCCAGTCCCAGTTAATTTCGTCTCCACAGACGCCGCATAAACCCCATCTTCACTCATCACTTTATGCCCAATAGAAGCGGGTATCAAGTCCGCGTCAAGCCCTCGGGACAGGTATTCTTCGCGGATGAGTCCCCGGATCGCGATGTCGAAGGCTTGCATCTGGAAGCCGGGGAGGAGGCGATTCTCGCCTGGACGTGGCTTTGTGACGCGGAGGATGTGGGAGGGCGATTCGGTGATTAGGTAGATCATGTGGTCGTCGCCTTCTATTTTCGATTGGCGGGTTAGGGTTGCGGTTGGCAGGGAGAGGGTGGTTGTTGTGAAGGTTTGGAGGGTTGAGATTGGGACTGGGGTTGGGGTAGTAGAATCCATTTTGTCCATTTTTGGGGGGTTGTGCCTGGTATGTTTGGGTGTTTTGGGGGTTTTGGAGGTTTTATTTATATATATGGTTTGGGGGTGGGTGGCTTGTATACGAGGTCGGGGTCCCAAATGGGTAACCGATGTTACTCAGGTGGGGATGCGTGGTGGGTGTCAATGTTGTGGGAGGGAGGGTTTCCTTGGCATTGGCTATGATATTCTGGGGGTTGATTGGGTTAGTGTTACTTTTTTCGATATATGGGTTTATTGTAGGTAGTGAGTGGTATGTTGTTGGTGGGAGGATTCTGTGAGGGTGGTTGTTGTGGTGACTTTAAGTCATTGTAGTAGTGCTGCTGGGTTGTCACTGATATAACGGATTGCGAACAGAGCATGGTATGCACAACCACCGTCATGTATTATCCAAGAGGAATCTATGAAATGATTATATCTTCATATCAGTACTTCATGCTCTAAGTTTTGATGTTTAAAGTAATATATGGAGTACTGAATGGATCCACTCACCGTAGGGTTTGGTTCGGAGAGTGGATCCCTTTTCCCTTCCCCCCTATGTGAAGAACTTTTCACAACACGAAAACCAAGCGAAGAGACTGCAAAAACAGAAAAATTGACCGACGCAGGATTCGAACCTGCAATCTCTTGATCCGTAGTCAAGCGCCTTACCATTGGGCCAGCCGGCCTTGCTTGTTGAAAAACGGGGTTGTTCATAGACTTATGATCGGAACAATATCTGGTGGCAAGAAAATTCAGCTATGTTCCATTGGGTATATGTATGCTATCCATAAAATGTACAAACAAGGAAAGGTAAAGGAAAAAGATGTAAAGAGCGGCCGTAACATTAGTACTCAGGACTGTTCATCACACATCGCCAAGAGTCGTTCCTTTTCGCTGGGAGCACTCTCCAACTCGTCTATCTGGGAGACGGTAGTCTTCTGCCTCCTGCAGCCCCGAATGCAGTAGCACACGGAGATGATGATCCTTCCCAACACGAATCCAACCATACAGGCGACCACACCCGCCATGACGCCCAGAAGAGCAGGCATAACCACCGGCCGTACGAGTCTTGTGAAGTTCTTCTCTCTGCCGCTCCAGTAGCCCGGTCGGTGGTGGTGATGATGCGGATGACTCTGTGGAGCAATCGTACGGTGCTTATCCACAGGCGGCTGCATGTGGCCGTGTTGGGGTCTCGCGGTCGGATTCTTCGATGCCGAACCATGCATGCAGTTCTTGGCAGCGTCCTTCATTGCCTCAAGGCCGGCTGCTAATTGGGCCACCCACGACGACGGCGGTTCGTCGTGGTGGTGACTGAGAATGGGGTTGGTTTCCAGTTGAGTGATCTGGAGGTTTCCATCGGAGTCTTGAGAAAGGGTGATGGTGACAATGTAGTCGGAAGCGGGTCGGCCCCGTAGGTCAAACAGTCTCAGTTTCAGAAGGAAGACGCCTCCAAGCACTTCGGCTGGGCGTGACGGCATGGGTTGGGCATCGAGTTCATAGGCTAAATCAACCGTCTCTCGGCCAGAGTGAAAATGCCGGACTGCATGGAACCGCATTGGCAGAGTAGGTGGGAAGATCGGGTCATGGTTGGCGAGAAGCGTGCCATTTTCGGTTGAGAAGTCCAGGGTCTGTATTGAGTCAGTGATGATGTTCTCGTCATCCCTTTTACGTGTTAGAGCTTCGAACACACCAGGTAGGAATGAAGATCAATTTCTTTCGAGCATTCTGCATCTGCGAAGGAACATAGAGCGGTGGGGACATTGGTTGGACGGGCGATGATCCGGCTTCGAGGTTCGGGATTAAGTCCTGATAGTTCGATATTGTTTGTGGAAGGTAGAGATAACGCAGCACAGCTGGTCAGACAGAGCGCGCCCGTCAGAGACAGGAAACGCAGCAACATGGTGGAAGGACAGGTGGAGTAGACGTCGGGAACGGCGCGTAGTAGTTGATATAGTAAGGAAATGAAGGTGGCGGATGACGGTTTGGGTGGAAGTGTGTATCTTGTTCAACACTTAGTAGTACTAATATGGGCGGCTCAGAGAGGGCAGCCGTCAAGGGGAAGGGAAAGGAAGCGAGAGTCCGCGGATTAGATATATAGAGGCGGGAGGGGCTCAATCAGACTTTCTTTTATTCATTTATTTAAACCTTGAGTGACTCAAGGCATCTGGGGAACGTCTGATTGCCTGGATTTGACGATCACTGACTGACACCCTCAGGCAACAGTCCACTATTACTAGTACGAAGTGAATGAAGATGACAGCGTGTGATTGGGCAGCAGGGGAACCCCGCGGGTCGAGGAATCTCGAGCAAGTTCATAAAGGCTGAGCTTAGGGTCTAAAAAAAGACTATGAAAATTTTCTTTCGCACGATTCTTGCCATGGTTTCACCATGAGACAGCTGATCGTCTTTTTACTCGATTGACTTTTATTCTCTATTTCCTAGGAGTATTGTTATTTATCTATTTATTTTTACTTTCCGAGGCGACAGGGAATGTGAGCTGTAATACACGAGAATTCGATGATCGCCCGTGGTACAAGTCGTTGAACAGGCAAAGAACCCTGATACTTAGGAGAATGGGGTAGTAATCGGCACAAGGGATCCTTAGTATCAACTATGCACTGCGCCTCTCGTTGGCTGAAACCCCCAAACGAGGGCCCACGACAAGCTTCTCTTTCAGGGGTCTTCAGAATCAATGACAGTTGGTCAAAGTGGTCAATGTTGGCCTCTGATTGCGCCACTCATTTCTTTTGATCCTGAAAATTTTAATAGCCGACTTGACCCGTGTACTGTTTTATCACATTCTTATTGTTTACCTTTTTCCATAATGATAATGAGGAAGAGGCTGCATTCGCCCCTTTTTTATGTCTCCCTCACTCATTATCTATAGGGCTATTACATAAGAATGAGGGTTGGGGTTTGACAGGCACTTGACCAGTTGGACACTGCAAATGCAACAGCTAAATTTGGCCCCGACACTGAAGTGGGCCATATTGAGGCAGTGCATCAACACCATTGGCTCCGAGGCAGGTTGAGGGATTAACTGCTCCAATAACAGTGAGAGTAAAAGCTTAGCAACTGAGTTTATTCATTGCTCCATTTGGTCTCTTTGCCTTTTGTTTTGCCATTCGAATACTAGTTCTTCTTCGGTGCCGTGGTTCAACACTGCAAGACCCTGACCAGAGGAGCCTCACAATCCTTCCGGAATCGTGTCTGCCTACATACGGTCACAATTGTTCGGTGATTCTTCCTATTTTATTTATTTTTTTATTCTTTTCAATTGTGTTTTTCTTCTTGTTCCAACCGCGGAGAAGCACTCTTCTGGGTGTCGCTCACTCCGATCCGTGCTAAAACACATAGACTGAGACATCTGGAACCCACTCCACTCGACTTGCTTGCCGCTTGTCTAAAAAATCCCACATGGTCCTGTTCAATGTATGCAACCTTGCATACTTGCCGTAGCCTCTTTTTCGTTTTTTACTTCCGCCGAAGCTAAGCTCGTGGGCGATTGACTGGTCGAGTGGGTTTCTCTTGGTGTGAAAGGCTTGGGCGCCACAATAAATCTGGGCCTGAGATAAGAGTTTTTCATTTCCCAAATACGACATAAGTCCGCCGCAGCATTGGGGGCTTGCCCATGTGACCTTCGGGTGTGTCGCTCCGATATACTGCATTCTCGAACATTGGCACGCTAACCTGCCTGTCATTAGTCTCTTGCGGAGGTCGTATGGCCGGTCGGTTTTCGACCAACCAACCCTACTCCTAAAGTGGCGATCACCAACTTGCCAAGCAATGTCCGAGATTCTCCACCCATTCACACTATGGTCAAGACGACGTTGATGGAGCTCCATCTGCATGTGTGATGTCCAAATATGCGTAGTGGGAGGGCGAGCCCTATTCAGCCTAGTCACCAACACCGAATCCCTTACGGAACGCACAGCGTCTTTGAATGCATTCATGCCCTAAGTCTTGGATCAGTTCTAGCGGGGTAGACTTGTGGAAATAACGTCGCGAAAGTGGGCCTCATTGTGAGTACTGTGTGCCTCAGTATAGGGACCTTCACAGTGGCCCCAGGGCCGTATACCCAGCGGAATCTGGTCAATCTGCCTAAACAGGTGGATCGTAGTATTTGACCCGCTCATGCCTGGATTGTCAAGGACCCATCGGATGCTATATTGTTGCCTTGAGAGCTTCTCGTCTAGATATACACGTTCCATACCCCTCTTGCTCAAAGCAGCCGGCAATGGTACTCCACTCCACTACGGTGACTTCCTTATCTCTACCCTGGATTTTACGCTGCTGCCTTGTTGCCGTGGCCCAAGAAATTGGCACCGATTCCCAAAATGCGCCAATGTGAAGAACAAACGGGAAAATGGGCTATCTCTCGAGTGTCTGGGATTGGGACCCGGGCAGGGGATTACGTGTAAATGCGGCACAATCCTCCAAGGATTTGGCTGACGGCTGCGGGCATACTCAACAGCCTTTCGATTTTAACCTATTGCTCCAGTAATCTGACCAGATGATTAATAGACGACTAGCAGTAGAGATCCCTACATTTATGCCCTCGATGTAACATGCCTTCCCTGCCGGTTCCTTGGCGTGCGACCTGGACTCGTCGGCTGTTCTTTGAACCTCTGGACAATCTCTTTCACGTACTTTCTTTCCCTTTCTCGCTTTCTTATGTTTGCTATGGCATCTCGAGTCGTCTTTACGTCATTTATCATCCACTTCACGCACCTTGAACTCGAACATCCCATTCGACGGCACCGCGTGTTCATCTTGCAGCTTCATCGCCGTCTCGACTCCAGCTGCCGGCACCCGATACTCGAACCTCTTCCCTGGCCCGGGCAAGTGTCCACCCGGAAGTGCATACGGAAAGGGGAGGTATTCGGGCATCAAACCCAGCTGTACAAGCACCGTCGCCTGATCCCACGCTATATGCTCATGATACAGGCGGTCTCCACGAATATTCACGACTGAGGTGAACGGGATACGGAGCGGTTTACCGGTAGGTGGGACACCGGGAAGTCTGATCGAGTTAGTAAGGACTATCGTCCTCAACCGCTACGATGCGACATAATGGGATCAGTAGGCTCCGAGGCAAGGTCACTATACTCACAACCAGTCGATCTCCTTATTATGCGTCAGACTGACAATGAACTCATCCACGATTCGGTCCGTGCCGACCGTCCGGCTGATAAGTTCCAGTGCGGTGTCGGCGGGGTTGTTGAAGATGAAATTTTCCAGGTAGAATTTACTCAGTCGGGCTCGGCCGATTCCGCCCGTCATCTTGCTTGGGTGAGTCGACAGAATATAATCATGTGGTTGGAGAAGAAGACGGCACTTACAGTCGGAATATGATTCACGTACGGCTCCTGCACCATCGTCGCCATGGTTTTTTCGACGGATCGATCCCCGAACTCGTACCACGTGTGCTCATCCCAGATTTTCTCGAGGTCGAAATACGGCCCGTTCATGTGTTTCTTCACAAAAGCCAGAGATCGCGTGTGAGCGACTCCCGCAGCCGCGATCTTGAAGTCGGAATGTCCGGGGATGATGAACCCAGCCGAAGAGACATCCGCATACGAGTACACGGTGTGATTATCGTGCTTCGCAGGTCCAGTCGGCTGGAAACTTCCTGGAAAGTGCGAAAGGATAGGCAGTGATATCTCACTGGTATCCCACGAGCTGAAGAACACCACAGCAGCGATCTTTTGGCTCACAGCCGTGATGATCTTGCCCAAGACCCCTCCGAACTCAGGCGTATAATGGTCCGGAGAACCGTAGACTATATACCATCAGTATACACCTCTTACCCAGTAACGCAATGCATCTTACCTAATACGACAAATTTGTCCTTTTTATCACATTCCTTCAACGACTCTAACCCTGCAATACCCCTCTTCACAAATTCCAAAACACCACTCTCATCCGCGCCCGCCACAGCATCCACCGTAATCTGCACTATCGCAAAACTCTCCTCCGCCCATTTCTGCACCGGCTCCGGGTCAAGACTGCCATTCTTGCCTTGACATTCGGCATAGCTATAAGGCCGGATGATTATTAGACCGGGTCCATGCCCGCACCGCGAAAGCGGGGGCTGGAGCAGGACCTTGTCTCCCAGGGACACCGATGGTGCGGAGGGGAGAGGAGGTGGAGCTGTCATCTCGATGTTTCCTTTTTATATGAAAAGTTTGACTGGGTAATTGGTTCTTCGAGTTAAAAGAGTCGTAGTATCTGTTGGTTGGTGATGGTGTTGATTTAATTATAAGCCGAGGTCGACCCCACTTGTTGTCGCGCAGTTGATAAACGACTTTCAATTCTGTCCTTTTTGTACAGTTCGTGCCCGTGTGCCCGGGGTTTTAGGGGACGTCTTTGAGCAAGGGTGTTTGGGGTGTTTTTGCGGTACAATGGATATGTGGTTGATATCAATTCTTTCTCGATATGATTATATTTATAATATGAAGTCAAATATCGTGTAAAGAGATTTGTTGGCGGGAACATATTGAGACTTGGTTCTATACATATTTGATAGCAGGCCTCCGCCGCTTTACTGTAAAGTATCTTTGTCAGATATCTTTTAGCCACTATTGAATTCCTTTCTTAAGTCTCCTACGCAGACTACGTACGCGGTACTACAGCGTTTATATCAATATTGAAGCGACTCAAGCGAGCCAGTCTTTGATTAGGTTGTTCTTGCATCTGGCAGAGGAAAAAGGGTTAGGCTGTACTCAATCATACCATATTCGAATATGTACGTAAATAGAGGGCCACTCTGAAGGGCATAGAATTACGCTAGATGTGTAGGATAGTAAAGTCATATGAAGCCGATCAAATTAGACCTGGCATGACAGGGATCCGTAAAAGCAGTCAAAGTGAAATTGAACGAAAACAAGGGCAATTTGTATTTTTACAGCCTCGATTACTCACTCCATGCTCAACGCGAAGGTTAAAGATTTCCCAGGGAAACTCCTTAGTTTGAACTCTAGAATAGCTATTTTCGAGAGCCGGAGACAGAAAACCAAGGCAACCCAGGCAGCATGAATGCAAAATTTGGCAGGGTCCAGTTTGACAAAATGAACAAACATAGCAATGCAGTACCTGACCAATGAGAGATGGGAGAAGTCTGTTTGGTAAGATGGTGAACAGGACGATTCGATCTTGCAAACACTACAAACTGAACAGTCCCAATTGACACGAAGTGTCAACAAATAAGCGCGCTTGACGACATTGCGACATAGTTCTCGGCCCCCATGCTTCCGATAATCTATGTAGTTTGCATAGCAAGGCACGAGATTAAATGGACTACAATGACTTATTGTCGATTGGGGAGTCGTGAAAACACATCTATAAGCAGCTGTGATGGATCGTGATTCTCCGGGGATACGCACCCATTACAGTCAATCAAATAGTCTTCGCATAATCGAACTATCTAGCTCATCGTAATTTGAGTTTTTCTATATCCAGGTCTCTCAATCAAAGATGACAGAGAGGCAGGTGTGAACTTCGGTGAGAAGTTCAACGATTTCAAAGTCATTGAAGCAGTCTACAAACATGTAGACGGGCATGATACTCGAGCTGATGTCTTGATCCCAAACTCTCTACCCGCGAGAGGACCAATACCAGTAGTTGCTCGATTCCATGGAGGTGGCCTGAAGAGTGATACTACCTTGTTTTCTCATTTTCTCAGCTGACGGGTATTGATAGACTTGATGGGATTCCCTTTATGCGGACTGGTTTTCAATCTGGCTGCTGAACTCTCGGTCACATATAACGCCATAATTGTTTCAGCAAATTATCGCTTTCTTCCAGAGGCCACAGGTCTCGCAGGTATTAGAAGATGTGGATGAGTTCTGGTCGTGGCTGCACTTGGATAAACTAAAGGATCTCCTAGCCGCTCAAGACACGCCTATCGAAATAGATCTAGACTGCATTCTTGCTGCAGGAGATTCAGCGGGCGGCTCGCTCAGCATCGACTTGATACTTTCGTACCCCGACCAGCAACACGCTGGAACAGCCACATATTCCCAACTCAGCTGGGATGACCCGCCTATCTATCCTCAACGCAAGAGTTCTTTAATACCCGAAGTGCCGGAGTCAGTGATATGAATTTATCACAAGCCTGAAACTGGGGGCTGTCGAATCTTCTGATCTTGAATTGCGGCGTGTTTCTCTGAGTTCGGCAACCTCCTAGCACAGAAGAGGGCATGAGTTTTATCTCCGGGGCTCTGAGGCATCACCTTATCGAGATTGAATGTCCCCACTTGGAAGGCTGGATCTGCCCAATGCGAAGCTGCCTTGTGGTGTCTTAGTAATTTCTCACGGCGCAGATGATGACATGGGTTCTTCCGAGTTGAGTGAGCGGTTTGTAGATAAGGCGAGAGATGTGTTGAAGAGGCGGCAAGGTGGTGATAAAGTTATTCTGTCTTTGCAACCTGGCGGGCAGGGATTTGATGTGGATGTGTCTTTGAAAGAGTACTGGTTAAGCAACGCCCTCAAGACTGCTTGGGATACGTGGTTACAGTGCCTTGCACATCGCCCTGCCCACCCCAGACTTCTCCAGCCCTTTTTCCAAACCCTGAATTACAGATACTAGTACGGTTACAGTTAGAATATGAATAAAGCTTCTTGGTGGGTATCTACCTTTCATGTAATTTCATAAATGTAACTGCCAAAAGTGCAGGTCGTGTAACGGCCATACAGCTTCCGCCGCGGAAAACAGAAGCACACGCTACAGTTTGCAATCTGTCAACAACTGAACAACGTTCATAAACCGAGACTAGAACCATGTCTATTTGGACGATCACATATTGCTACAGTTCAGTCTTTAAGAAAGGCCTATACTCGCTCACAGCTCGCGGTTCGGGTCCTGGGGGCGAGTATCAGCATCCATCATTGGCTGCTTCAGCAAAACAGCCTGATGCCGGCCCTCATGCACTACTCCTCATATAGGCGGCTATTGCAGCCCTATGGTTAGTGAGCGCAATCGCGAGGCTGCGGACAAAAACAGCTTCGTGTCTCCCACGACCTCAGCTACGATCCATCCGGCTTTTGCGGATTCATATCCTCGTTACATATCTTGTCTTTGACGCAGCAGAATCTATGCGAGTCTCTGTTCTGAATTGTCAGATATCCTCTCTATTCTAAGCTGAAATGCGCCCCAAAGACCGCCACAATTTTGTGATCGCGATTATCTGCGCCCTTCCTCTTGAGGCTAACGCCGTTGAAGCCCTTTTCAATAAGACCTACGATCGGCTGGGAAAATACTATAGCAAACAACAAGGCAACGGGAATTCATACATTAATGGAAGGATTGGCAACCATGATGTGGTCCTGTGCTACATGCTAGGAATAAAGAAAAGAAGTGCAGTAAGTGTTGCCTCAAGTCTGCAAGTTAGCTACACGGGTGTCAAGCTTGCTTTAGTTGTTGGTATATGTGGAGGCGCCCCGTTACCACCAACCTATCCAGAGATATTCCTAGGCAACGTTATCATCAGTGATTCTGTGATTGCATATGACTTCAGCAGGCAATACCCTGGTGGCTTTCAACGGAAGTCTGGGATCAAGGACACACTCAGCAGGCCGCATCGAGATATTCAGACTCTGGCCTGAGTACTGGTAATGCCCGCAGTGAACTTCAAAACCAAATGCAACAATATCTTGACACGCTTCAGCAAACAGGAACCAGATGGCGCCATCCACAAATTAATGATATTCTTTTAAGGCTTCTTATCTTTACAAGCATTACTGGCATGCTTCTTCTATTAGGTGCTGCTGTTCAGAGAGTGACATGCCTAGGGAGATCTGTGACCGAGCACTGGAGAAATACTGTGATAATCTTGGATGTGACAAAAGCCAAGTTACCCGGTGTTGAGAATTCCTAGAAGCTGTTAAAGTCTCTATACATATTGGAACAATCGCTTCAGCCGACATAGTGATGAAGTCCGGACAACACCGTGATGGAATGGTTAGAAATGAGAAGAACTTTGCTTTGAAATGGAGGGGACAGGAGTGTAGGATAATATCTCGTGTATTGCCATTAAAGGTGTGTATGACTATGCGGACAGCCATAAAAGCAAATCATGGCAAGCATATTCTGCAGCAACTGGAGCCTCCGCGGCAAAAGCTTTCTTGGAGTACTGGAGGCCTCGGAACTAAGAAGGTTAGTAATCTAGTATCAGCAAATTTAGCTTATACTAAATGTTTCATTGTATATCTAGCAGACACAAGCAAGACTCGTCACATCATGATCCCCCTTGGGAGAAATCCACGCTTTGTCGGCCGCCAGGATCAAATCCACAAGTTAGAAAAATTAATCTCGAACCCGAAGGACCAAAGAAACTTGCTATTACCGGATTGGGAGGAGTCGGTAAGACCCAAATAGCTCTAAAGCTAGCTTATCGCAAGCGAGATAGAGAGGCTGAATGTCCAATCTTTTGAGTCCCTTGTACCAGCTACGAGGCTATTGAACAGGCCTGCATGGCCGTTGTACAAATGGTAGGGATCCAAGGCGTGAAGCCAGCAGAGGCGAAAGAGTGTCTCAGGGCTTACTTTAGCCAAAAGGACGGGAAGTGGCTTCTGATATTCAACAATGCAGATGACATGGACGTGTGGACGAAAGACAGCAAGCAGTATATCCTCGGCAATAGAGGACTTCCTTCCTTGTAACGGCCAAGGCCATGTTGTCTTTACCACTCGCAATCGAGAGTTAGTGGTGAATTTAGTATCCTGTTCTATAATACATGTTCGCGAACTCGACGCAAAGACAGGCAGGAAGTTTCTAGAAAAACCTCCAGTTGATAAAGATCTGTGCCATGATACCCATGTAATGATTGATATGCTTAAGCACCTTGCTTTTCTTCCATTGGCTATCAACCAGGCTGCGGCGTATATTAACAAGAGAGGGATAACAGTGTCCGATCACTTGATCCTTAAATGAACAGGAGGAAGTAGTTGTGAAGCTACTAAGCAAGGATTTTGGTGATGATGGACGCTACAAGGATGTCCAGAACCCTGTAGCCAAGACGTGGCTAATCTCATTCTGTCAGGTTCAGAAGCTGTACCAGCTTGCTGCTGATTACCTACTGGAAGACGCGCGCTTCGCACGCTGTGGCCCTGAAACGATAGATAGAAACAATATATAGTACGAAGCCCAAGACTATCTGGTTTTAACAATAACATGCATGAATATTCATGTACAATATCGCATCATAACCAATCATAAAGGGGCAAAGGCGGATGCTACGGTCAGCTAGAACAACCACTTTAGTACTTTATAGAACCTATTTTTACTAGAATAGACCTTTAGACAACTTACAAATAAACTAGGTATCATGAGTTGCATCTAAAAGCTGATGTAATAGATTATTCACAGTGATGATATATGCATAAAATATTTCCTGTGTCATGTGGAAATGTTATCCTCTCCGAAAAATCCGTTTAAGAAGTAGTCGCTTTCGGTGCTTTGCAGAATCTGGCTTTGATTTAATGGATTCACTTGCAAGTTCAACGCTAGGACGATCAGAGAAAGGTACGGTCAGATGATGGTGGCCTAAGAGATTTGAAGAATGTTTATCACTTTTCTCTTGACTCGCTATTAGTGGGAGCTTAGCTGGTGCGGAGTCCTTCGCTTGTAGCCATTCGCTAAGAGCCTTAGAGGAAGATAAAGTATACGGATGATCAGGACCAAACAGTTTGGTGTGAAGTTCAACACACTTTTCCATCAACATCAAGGCATCGCTGAGTTTTCCTAGGGATTCCCAGGTAAAGGCAAGATTGTGCATGCTGGTCAGAATGTCTGGATGCTCTGGCCCTAGTATCTTCTTCTGAGTCTCCATTGCTTGCACCTGTAGCTCTTCTGCTTCCTTCCATCGTCCTTGATCCCAGTATGTTAATGCCAGGTTGGCCATGCTGGTTAGGGTGTGAGGATGCTCTGGCCCTAGCACCTGCTTGCGAGTCTCCATTACTTGCATGTCTAGCTCTTCTGCTTCCTTCCATCGTCCTTGAT